CACTGTACTGTCATCGTGGTCCACATACCTTATAGTCACATAGTAAAATTAGAAGGAAATATTTTACAGAAAGATAATAGTTAACTAACAGTATTTTACAAGGTTGATTGATTTGTCTACATCAACTATTAAAATTAATACTACATGGTAACATTGTGGTCGATTTTCTCTTGACATAAAAAATAAAAGTAAACAAGATAAGTGTGGGACAGATATACCATTTTTTTATAGTATTATCTCAAGATTGAAGCACGGGATGATCCAGCAAGGTTTGCATCAATTGCTTTCAAATTGCCGTGATGAAGGCGGGTCCTGATTCTCTAAACGTGTCCATTATTTGGTTGAATCTCCCTCCCCCTCCCTCCCCCTGTCATTCAATAGAAGCAGAACCACCCTAATCCTTAGATAATGAAATCGTCTTGGAAAAGGTTATGATTCGATCTCTAATAAATACAGTTTTCTAAAACAAAAAAATATTTAATTGGGTCTAGTTAAACAGCAGTGGCGAGGATTGAACTGAACATATTTTCTCAAAAAAAGTACGAATAAAAAACCCTGTCATTAAATACTTGTGTCAATATTTTATGTGTTACATTATCTATCGTTAAACACAACCTGAAAACAATCTTTGTCACTTGATGATTTAAATGATCTGAACCCTCCATAAAAAAACACTCAGAAGTACTAGCTGTTACCCACGGGCTTCACCCCATTTGAGTTCATAAGTATTAATAAAACTATTGATTGATTAAGTTAAGCTGAAATAAACAAAACAGAATACAGTACCTAATACATACAAATAATCACACGATTTTAATAAGGCAATAAATTGAAAGAACAACATACAAATAAGTAAAGCTGAGGTATTTTTGACATTAGGTATATGGACCTTCCTTTAGAAAGGAATTACGACCTTAAAGGGCAATTTATGAAATAATGGATAGTTTTGCGCAAGGTTTCTCGTCTTGACGAAATTAAGTAAGCCTATGTGGTTTAAAGTATAGGGGCGTGACTTGTAGTTTTCTCAAAAGTTCATGGGCACTTAGGGATTTATATATGGATTATAATTTAACTATTTTATCTTTCAAACTAGTAAAACTATAATTCCTTAAATTTAGACCTAAATAAACTATTACTAAATCAAATTCGTCTACATTTTATAGTTTTGACAGTATTCTGACCCCAAAATAATTATATGTTCTTTTTACAACCATGGCGCAGTTGGTAAAATGAACGAGCAATTTGACGTTATTTGAAGCAACAAATTTGGAGACGTAAAGACAACTTGGCAGGTTAAATAAATCTTCCTGAAGATTTCACTGACCATAACTGTCACAATTCAGCTGCGAACAATCTTATCAAGAAACTTTTTGTCTCAGAGAAATACAATTTCTTCGCCTCCTACTAACCTCTGCTCGAGGTAACAGAGGAAAATTCGAAATAAATAGCACAATGATTGCAGTAAAGAATATAGTTTTGTATTTTCTATTTGTATTTAAAGTAAACAATGTGTATAATTATTCTAAATCAAGTGTAAACTTACTAAATTATCAGTCATTTACTGTATGTAAATGTAAAATGCCCGAATTATTCACTGCTTTATTTCATATGTAAATTCAATAACATATACTAAAGGCACAAAGATGAAAGTTCCCTTTATTATTTCATTTAAAAACAAATTCTAATTGCCATTATAACGTATACGTGGAAAATTATTATTTTCAAACTTTGTATAGTATAGATATCCTTACTTTAATATTTCGAAACTCTATTGAAAAGGCACAACTACTAATTATATTGCTGAAGTTAATACCAGCTGTTTTTTGTTTTGTTAATGGCTTGTTGTGAGTGGATATTTTATAAAAATATTGTTGTACGTAATGAAATTGGTTTGATTAAATTAAATAATTAGTGGTTTTGAAACTTCAAGTTTTCCAAAATATCACAAAAAAAATTAAGAACGATATAAGGAAATAAGGAAGATGGAGGTGAATCGAGTATATGACAATGACATTCAAAATTCTGGTAAGATTTTCTCAATTTAGCCTATACAAGATTTAAAATGAATTTCAACCTAAATAGCAATTTACTAAAGAATTGCCTAAATATTACTAATCTAAATTAACAGCATTTAACTGAAATGAAGTAGTACGGTTGAATTTGTTTTCTAAAACCGTTGGATGATGTGTTATGTAACTAATTTATACAACAGATGTAAAGAACAAATTCTTCTCTTTCACGTTTTATTCCCGTTGCAAACCACGGGTACAACAGCAAGTTAAAGTTAAAGTTATAAGTTATAAGTTATAAGTTAAAGTTATAAGTTAAAAAAAACTATTGTTCTGCTTTTAGAGAAGTTCGTTTTTTATATGACGCTTCGTTTTGTACGCGAACGGGAGTTTTAAAATGGAGATTATATTTCATAGAATATGTTTTCAATACGTTGAATGTATGTCCCTATCAACCTTTTTCGCAAATTCGGAATTTTCGGATTCCATGAAAAATCATTTGGATTCGAACATACACGTGGTTTTATGTGGAGATGCGTGACGAGGGAGATCTAAAATGTGCTCATGCCAACTCATGCATGTATAACTATTTTTCTGTTATGGTTTTAGTGCAAACATGTTACAAGACGCTTCGGGCTTTAAATGAATAATACGGTCATTAACCAATTCAACCGAACACTCTTTGTGGACCGGTGATGATGTATGTTTAAAATGATTTCAGTTCAGTTAACTAGTATTGTTTATAGTTATTCAAACCAAAATTCATTCATTACAAAGTGAATCGCATTTTTAACTATACAAACATGTTACGAGACATTGTCTGTGGGCAATCCCACGATTACTAGAAAAATTCTCCTTTCGGTCACTGGTAGAGAATATAGATTTAAATAACGAGAGCTCGCCCCGTGGTCGAAAACTCAACCAAAAGTATGTATTGTGCAAACTTCTCTATTTTCATTCCACGCACCAAAACATGTGATAATTTCTTCCATTTGCTTTGATTTTCTGCTAATATTTTGTTGTTATTTCGTTACCAGCATGGCAACCCATAAGACCCATGTTAATTTATTTAATTTAATTTTTTGTGCTTATTTTTTAGCCTATTTTAATTTTTAAAGAGATTCTGCACATCTACAGGAAAATGTCATTAATTTGGCACCAACCGCGTGTAATTCGGTCCTGTAGTATGGTCAGGCTAGCTGTCATAAGCTTTTCAAAAGTTGTTTAGTACCTATATAAGATGAGTGTTTCAGGCTTGCTAAATACGCCTGGCTAAATGTTACCAAGCCTTTGTCTCACAATTATTTTGATTGATTAAGAATTGGGAATTTGTGAAAAAGTGGTACGAGTTCGTAAAAAACATGACTGTAAATTATGGTTTTTAACTTTACTTCAGAGAAAACATGACATCGAAGCGCCACAGAAAACAGGCTGACGAGTACAGGTCGGTAAATGGTGTTGGACATCAGCTTCCCTCTAATCTAATGGTTACTATACAGGGTGGCTGAAAAGTAACTTGCACCCCCCCTTAACTTTTCAACCATTTGAGATATTTGAAATCTGTTTGCGGCAACCTTCTTAATTATGAGGGGCTACAATAATTATGGTCAATTTTGAAAATTTTGCCCTTAGGGGTAGTGGGGGTAGGGGGTATCTAAAAATTTTCAAATGAAAAGTATAGTCGAGTTTGGTATCATTTTACAGTTCATGACAAAACATAAAAATTGACATAAAAAACCAAAATCGGGCCACTAATAACAAAATGGCGCCCTAAAGCGTTTCAAATCCAAAATTTTCAAAATTGACCATAACTATTGTAGCCCCTCATATCTAAGAAGGTTGCTGCTAACAGATTTCAAATATCTCAAATAGTTGAAAAGTTAAGAGGGGGTGCAAGTTACTTTTCAGCCACCCTGTATAAGTAAAATGCACAAACCCCTTTAATGAATCAAAGTTATAAAGTCATTTTCATGAATCCCTGTAAAATTTATATTTGCCTAAACTCCACCGAGTATAAACCCCCAGTAGAACACTCGCATATTCTCCAATATTGAACATTCTATCGTCATAAAACATGATTTCTTTTTTTTTATTTTACTTACTAATGTGGGGTTTATGGGGTCAATTTATTGTAATAGAAGACAACGCATAACGTTTCTTGTACTTTTCTACAAGTTTTTACAGATAGGTACAGCTTATATTAAACAAATAGGCTATGCCTAATTAAATATGTAGTCATCATGCTACTTTTAGAGATACTAAATTTAATTCACAATACGATACAAAAATGATTGTACTGTAATCACAAATATTTATCAATTGAATCACATACATCTAATGGCCACGTAGGATCTGTTAAAGTAACAGAATAACACCGTAATTCATATGACCTTAAACATCTTCGTCATGTGTTGTATGGAACCAATTAATTATAATAAATGAGTAGGTTAATGTAGATTTTAAATTACTAGATTGTGTAGGTTTTGATATTTTAAATCGGTGCTGTGTTAATGTGTCGTTCTACAAAGGCTTACGTTTATGAACGATTAATATGTTGGCAATTAATTGTTTTAATCTAAAATCAATTAGAATACCTTTATAACAAAGAAATTATTTGGTTTCAATACAAAACCACAGCGTACTGCAGAAAAAAGAAGTATTATTGCTAAAAGACACAAACTACTTCAAAATCAAAACAAAACTTTGATTTACATCCAAAACGATAATGATTGCTATTAGTTTAGTGGCGAGCGCAACGCAACAGTCACGCAATCGGAAGCAATTTCTTCGACAAACAATGAGTCATATATAAATACTTATTTCTATAAATAAATATACAAGTTACTTTAAATAAACTGCTATAAAAATCGAATTTACTCAAATTTATACCACTATCGTAGCGAAGAAATTGTTTTACATTTTACAATCAACACGTATAAAACCATTAATCCCCTGCAATAATTGATCTACGAGCGTTTCATTCATACCTACCCTGGAGTAGGAGTAATCTTCTATACTATTGAGTGTCACCGAGTAAAAACTCAAATTAAACCACTGGTCAAACAGTTGTACAATCCTACGTCAATTTGACGATAAGTTTATCTAGGAAATCGCTGAATTACTCACCGAAAAATCCAAGTTCTAACACGGATAGACGACAAGGGTGGCAGACGACTGAGAAGGTCGATACTAGCGCTTACCTCCCACGCGGTCCGGACCTAGCGGCCGGTGCGGGAACTACGGGGGAAAGTGTGTGAGGGGTGGGGGCAAAAATCCATACCAGCTTAGGGTGGGCGGCGAGCCATTGCCAAATCTCATGTGCAGGCCTCATGCCCTTTCAAAACTTGGCTACGTCTGGGGTTTTAATCGATAACATTATTGCACTTTTGGTGGTAGATACCCTAATTTTTGTTTCATATCAAACTGTGTTAGAAAATTAAATGAGAAATGTTTGAGTTTGCGTAAATGCCCTTTTGTAAAAAATTGCAAAATTCAAGTAGGTGCATAATAAAATATGTTTTTGTGTGAATATGATACGGCTATGCCGTTTGAATTTTTTACGAGGGTATATAGTGGCGAATTCCGCAAGGGTGTTCGATGGCTATAATTTATACTGTTTTGCCGGGCGCGGTCAAAGACCTCAGGGTGGTTTTTGGGTGGTTCAGCCACAGGGGGAGGGAAGGGGCTGGGAGACAAACTTGTAGGAATTTTCAACGAGATCAGATACGTGACGACTGTCAAATCTGTTATTTCAATATTTTATTTTTATTTCATATGACTTGATAAAATGGAAAAGATGACAATTATTAATTTTATTAATCTACAGTATTGGCTTTTAAAAAAGATAAATATAGAGTAGCAGTATTTAAATTGTTATTTATAATCCTATTTTTACTTAAACCTTGGGTTCTTTTAGTTTGGTCCGTAAAAATGATGATAGCTTACATTCCCGATTAACATATAGGCATATTCTTATCTCAAAAATCCTTTCGGGCTCCGCCCCAGTGGCTCTGTAGTTCCCCATGTTAACCTTATGAGTATCTATCTATCTATATATTAATAGGCAAGCATGTTTCTTTAAAACCTTTTTTCTCAGCTCGTGTGCATCGTAGGGAAAATCTACGCATACCGTTGGAAAGCTATTTTCCTGTAGGTGTGCAGAATCCCTTTATAAATTTAAATAGGCTCAAAGATAAGCACAAAAAATAAGTTTAAAAGTTGTAAAAAATTAACATGGATCTTATGCGTTGCTATGCTGGTTACGAAATAACAACGAAATATAAACAGAAAATCAAAACAAATGGAGGAAACTCCAATCACATGTTTTATTTACAGTGTGGGGTGAAAATAGTTAAGTGAGTACATTACATATTTTTGGTCGAGTTTCGACCACTGGACGACCTCTCGTTCATATTTAAAGGGAATTAAAGAATTTAGTCAGCTGTTTCAATTAAAAAAGTTGGTTCTATGATATGGAAAAGCATTAAAAAGTTATAAGATTTACCAACAGGGTGCAGCACTATATTTTTTGAATTTATGAAAACAGCTAATTTGAACCAAGCAGCAACAAAAAACTGTGATTCGCAATGAGAACTGTCAAAGTAGGATTGTTTACAGTTATGTTTATGTTTTTCATTTCATGAATAATTTGTGATATTTTGTGAATTGTTGATAATTTATTTTTCTCTATTGCTTAGGCGAAGTGGCAGAATATTATGGCTATGGTAGATGTGTAATACTATAGAATACTGTAAATTTAAAATACCCCCGCCGCAGCAAACCTGCAGACTTAGCGAATTTCCATTTGCCTGATTGGATTTAAACTAAAATGTCTCCTTAAAAATATCACATTTTTATTCCCTATTTAAACAGAATTAGTTTAATGAGTGCTTAGGTTTGCTGCAACAGGGAGGGTAAAACGTTTTTTTTATGTAAAATGTTAAAAGGTACTGTGGTTTAGTAAGAAATTAATGTATTTTCCAACTTTTATCAAAATATGTTCATAAACAAGCAAACTACAACAGTTGACTTATTCTCCATAAGAATAACATGGGAATTTTAAAATTACAATTTTTTTGAATTTTCTCCGTAACAATTAGGCGCATTATAACGCTTCAATATACTAAATTATTTGTTTTTTTAAGCTCTACAAAATGGTTTAAAAAGAAATTGTGAAATTTTGTGTTTTTAGGGTCAAAAATGGGAAAAACCTATTTTTACCCCATAAAACCCCCCATAAACCCCCGTTCCCATAGTCCGATCATGCTGGTTAGCGAACTCATCCAAGTTTATCGTGCCTTACACCTTCAAACTAAATTTTATCAAAATCGGACAAAAATTACTCAAGTTATCGTGCGGATGGACACATATATATATATATATCTCTCTCTATATATAGATATATAAAAATTTGAACGAATGGTGTTTTTGGCCTCTGGGGACATCAAAATGAAAAAGTAAATCGGTCCCGGGCTTAGGTCTTACCATGAGACCTACGGTAATAGCTACTTCCCTATAGGGAAATTCGCTAAAAGGAAATTTTATCAAACTGTGTCCTCCCTTATTGCAAACGCAAAGCTTGAGTATAGCTGCAATAAGCATTTTATACTTATATTCCAACCCCGTACGAAGGACGGGTACTCTGCTAGTGGTATGATAAATGTAAAACAAAATAAATATTATAAATAACAAAAATAATTAATTGTAGCATTTACTCACGATCTTTTTGCACCAATTCATAGTTAGGTTGACATAAGAGAAATGCTTTAATGGTGAGCATTCATTTATATTTTTAAGTATGTTTAGTGATTGATAACTCGAATATTTGATGATTCTTCCAGACCTTTCAGGAGAGAAAAAATATTTTTTCAAGCGAAGAATAAAAAAAAACTTCTTAAGATGGTATAAGCACAAAACTTAAATTATAACCATTAAGCTCTAAGTATTAATTTAAGATACGAATTAAAACTGTATTTTATTCTTCGAAATTATTGCTGAGTATTGAAAAACACCTTTTCTTAAAATTAAATACTAAAGATTTTATGTACAAATTGTGTGGATTTATGTTATAAAGTGTGTTATATTTTAACAAAACTACGACAGTATATTTGTTTGGTAAGCATTTTTTGTAGCGAGGAAATGACTAAAGTGGTAAAGTGGAGGACCATAGTAAAATAAACATTACTTAAGACTAATGAAACATAAATTTGACCTAAGAGGTCCGTTGGGAAGTTCGTTTATTTTAGTAGGGAGGTCAATCTTTCCACAACGAAAAAGTTATGACAATAAAGATCTAGTGCAACATTGGTTAAGAATTATTTTGTCATAAGAACATACAAACAATATTCAGAAAAATGCCGTTTGTAAATTTATCAATGCAATGACACAAACACTAAATTTTTATTAATTAAGAGAAATTAACTGACACAAATATGTTTTACAACTTTTATTGCGTTAATTTCTGAGTCTAGTTAGAATTGCCATATAGCTCAGTGGTCATTGATACTACACGTAAGGTTATTGAAAATATCTTTTCCCAACAAATGTAATGGAAATGAATATAGAAAAATACCAATACAGTTTACCTCCTTCCTACTATTACTATAAAGTACTTTCGTTTTCTAAGGAAACCATAAAGTTTCGTATAAAGACCCTTACAATCCGTTGCATAACGTTCTATTACATGTCACATTAAAACAAACGCAATATTTCATTATTTAAAATTCAGTTGTCTCAACCCAACAGGTAAGTAACGACAAACTAGACATGTTTTTCATATATCTGTCCGAAATAATATGCTTACGTAGGAGCTGACATTATACTCTTGGCAAAGAGTTCCACAGCCTTATTAGTTTTTATGTAATGCCACCAACAATATTTTAACCACATACAATATTTTCTGACATTCTGAAATTCCTTTATTCAGAATCTTTAGTAAAATTTGATATATTACTAAAGAATACTTATATTGAAAAGTAAACTAATATCGTGTACAAAATATTTCAATTAATTTTGGTACAAATTCACTTTGGAACAATTTAAAAACTCACATGATATGAATTTATAATAGACTACACGTAATTTAAAATAGTTACGTCCAAAATTGTGTTATGATACATTTTAAGAAGTGCTCTTTTTCTTTCCAGTTTATTGAAGTTTTGCTGACATAAGCAGCGTCTAGGCAAGTCTGCGTCTACTACATGACTAGAAAGAAAATGAACAAGAAACCTGAATTTCACAGGTCTTCAAGACTCAACTGCAAGGTAATTTTCGTTTCTTTACCATTGGTTTTTTTCCAGTTTTGTACTTTTCATATATCTGCATAATATTGTAGAATTATTTTAGATGTAGTTTGCTGTAAAAATTAATCGTTTAAGCAGTTAGGTTGATATTCCTATGAAGATCACATGTTGTTGTTGTATTTTAAGAGACTATTTTGGTAATTTTAATCACTATTAGAGGTGAAAAAGAACTATTCATTATGTAAAATTGTAGGTATCCCGTCCTATGAGAGCATCGAAAATTCATTTAATTAGAAGATTATAGCAGACAAACCTAACCAAAGCTGGAAAATTGCCAGAATAAAACCCTAATAACATAAACCCATAATCGCAAAAAAAAAACTCCAACTCAAAAAGGCTGTTTTTGGCACACAATTGGTAATCATGTAGTGTTACGTTTTACTGGTTGATGAAACAAAGGAAGTAATTTCATAATGATTGCATTCATCGACTAGTTATTGTTTATATTTGATTAACCAACCACCGGAGGATAATCACCTCTTCCCCAATAACCACAATCTCACTCCGTTAGCCACATTGAAGTATCCTAGGATTGGCAGCGTATCAAAATTTCCCAATATCGTCATTTCGATGGCAGTCGCCTCCAATATAGCCGGAGAGCAATAACATAGAATCGTAAATATCGCACTTCAGAATGTTTGATCAATTTCATAGGCTACCTGTGTTTTTCAATTTATCGTATGAATTATGTATTTTGAACCACTCTATTCGATACACCACCTCTATCATTAAATAAGTTGGATACAAA